GTACACACACGCATGAAACCTAAGAGCCTCGGGGGGAAATTGAGTTATTAAATATTTGGCTTGACTACAGTGGATATTATTGCAAACACAAATTAGTCTTAAACAGTTTCTTCATTAGACAAAATTTCCCCAAAGGACACCCAAAAAACCACATGAATTAGTTTCTCTCTGTTCATGATTGCTTACTTCGCACACAACGGCACTTTAAAATGTTTGTGCGTGTATGTGCTGAAAATTAATTAAAAGATAATGTGGATCTTCCATGAACTTGTGAGGCCCCTTCATACAACTCACAGAGTTATGCAAGCTCAAGTGTTGAATTTATTCATCTATCTCTGGATTTTTTTTATATGACACCTTAAAAAAGTTTTCAAAGATTTTCTTCTCTTTTGTAAGATGTATGTGTTTACTTGAAAGTCAGAGTTAAAAGAAGAAAGGGAAGGAAAGAGATCTTCCATCTGCTGGATCACTCCTCAGACAACCAGGAGAAAGCCAGGAACTTTCTCCAGGTCTCCCATGGAGACAGGGAGACTCTCCATGGATGGCAGGGACCCAAACATTTAGGCCATCCTCTGCTGCTTTTTTCAGGACATTAGCAAGCAGCTGGATTGGAAGTGGAGCAAAAAGCAAAAACCAGTATCTGTATCAGATGGCAGCATCACAGGCAGCAGCTGTACCAGCTATGCCATAGGGCCTGGCCCCAAAGATATTTATCTTAAATACAATGGCTCCAAAGCGAAGGATTAAATAAATAAGACACTATTAAAAAAAAAAACTTTGTGAAAACAGGATTGAAAGATAAGCTTATTGCAGTGCAAAAATTTAGAAATCCACGTCTAGTTTTTTCATAATACACATTTTCCATGAAATTTTAAAGTCCCTAATATTTATCTCTTTATGTAACTAAATCAGATTATGTTTCTCCTAATGACTGAGTTAAGGAATAAATCTGATGGAGAAAATAAAGAAAAACCATTTTGGACATGGAAATATTGTTGCAGAAGAGAGAAATCTCTGGGTTGGGAGCATGTGAAGCTGTGGAGGTACATGTGCTCAGTAAGGACACATGAACTCTGATGGAATTAGCTGCAGGATATGGCAAGAGTAGGGGAAATGCAAAGAATTCATGCTGAAAACAGCTTTCATGCAGCACGGAAGAAAGAGTCTTGCTTTCCTGAATCATCATCTGTTTCTAAAACTCAAAAGTCAAATCTGCTTGGGAAGGGGGCATTTGACCAAGAGGTTAAGATAACGATGGCGTCTTTCAGACTGACTGGAATCATTGCCTATCAGTGTATAGCTCGTGACTACAGCCTGCTACCAAAGCTGACCCTGGCCGGCAGCAGTGACGGTCCCAGGCACCGGGTCCCTGCCATCTATGTGGGAGATGTTGGCCGAGTTCCTGCTTCTCAGCCTCAGCCAAGCCTTGGCCATCGTAGGAACCAGTCAATGGAAGTTCCTTCTCTTTGAGTCTGTCTCTCTCGTTTGCTTTCCCTCAAATTCAAAAACTTTTGAAAAACAAATTGTGATTTGAAGGTACTTTGTTACAATGTTCCATTTTAACAAATAAAGTAAATAAAGCTATTTGTAAAATTATTTGGAAACTCAAATGAATGTAATTTCCATGGGAAACAGAGTCTTGATCTCCAACAGTCCACTAATCCAGTCTCTGGAAATTTAACCCATTTGTAAAAGAATTCAAGAATCACACTCAAGCCACCCCCAGCCAAGTGTAATGAGCCTGCCAAAAACCAACAATGACCTTTACTTCCCCTAGGGCCAGCTGGTAACAGAGCTCACTGAATTTTGCAACCCATGTTCATGTATTAGTCACCCTTCAGCCTAGTGGTCACAATTCCCAGATTCCACAACTACAAAGCCAGGCTGGTGGCCTCAGTGGCAGTTGCACTGTAGATCCCCACCTGACATTTAGGGAATCAGCAGAGCTCAGGTAGCTGATCTAGTTACCTCCTCTGGGTCCAGGTGTAAAAGAACTTACTTCTCTTCCATCCTGCAACTGCCTGGCTAGATGCCCACCGGCAGCTTCTCCAAGTCTGCATCTCTGTTTCTTTTTCTATGAAATGGGAATTGTAATACTGTCTCTGTCTTGGCATTTCTGACACGTTTACATGAGATCACCCATGTACAACATCATCCCTGACATGAGGGGGGCACTCAGCCCCACACTTAAAAAAGACATGAAGTGAACAAACAGAAAAACACTTTGCATCCTCAGATCCCAGGGCACCAGAAAGGTCAACAGAAGTTACAGAAAGTAAGAAATAACCCAATTCCTATGTGAATTCCTGAGATGCTGGGACGAGATACAGGCTCAGAAACACTGTTCTAGCCACCAAAAATGACGTGCCTTTAATCTGATAAAGGAAAATGTCATGGCAAAAGAAGTTACTGCAGAGTTCTAGAGAAGCCCAACACTCTCCAGGATGAATTTTTAAAGCACTCTGTGCCCATCCCAACACTTAGTTCCATTTCGGAAACAAAATGCAACTGACAAGAATTCCTAGAGAAAATGATTTTGCTAAAGAGATCCATATAGGGCCCGACAGCGTGGCCTAATGGCTGTAGTCCTCGCCTTGAACGCCCGGGATCCCATATGGGTGCTGGTTCTAATCCCGGAAGCTCCACTTCCCATCCAGCTCCCTGCTTGTGGCCTGGGAAAGCAGTCGAGGATGGCCCAGAGCTTTGGGACCCTGCACCTGCGTGGGAGACCTGGAAGAAGTTCCTAGATCCTGGCTCCAGATCGGCACAGCACCAGCCATTGCAGCTGCTTGAATCATTGGACAGAAGATCTTCCTCTCTGTCTCTCCTCTTCTCTGTACATCTGGCTTTGTGATAAAAATAAATAAATCTTAAAAAAAAAAAAGAGAGAGAGAGAGATCCATATAAACCAGGCTGTTATTGAGGGAAAAAATCAGTTTAATAATATAGTATTAGGTTGAGTACCATCCACGAAGGGTGTACGGTAAAAAAAAAAAATGCCTTGAATATTCATTGACCTCTGGTAACTTAGTGTTGTAAATACTTGTATTATACTGAGGTAGACAGTTTAAAAAAACTCTCCATTCGACAGGCTTAAAATTTTTCAATAATATTTAAGAAAATGATAACATTATGCAAGAATGAAATATCCGATTAATGCTCGACTTTGTACAACTCGAATATAAACTTTAAAAATATTAGAAATTATAACATTTGAGTGCATATAATGTTTTGTACATTAAGATGAATTGCATGCCATCCACTTCCTCTTTGCGCTTTCATTACCTTAAATAAACAAATATATACAGCCTTAACAGAACAACAGTGCATCCAAAGCAAATGTGCATTTTAAATTATTTCTCCTGGACAAGTCTTTTTTTTTTAACTCAGCATTTTATATTAGCATTTATTCTCATTCCCACCATTTCTTCATAGTTCTCTGAACCAAAAAAGTATCGGGTTTAGATTGGGAGAGAGCAAAAGCACTTAGGAGCAAACAGAACTTTTTTTTTTCCTAATGGTTATTACAAGTTCCCTTGTTGAAACCATTTACCATTTCATGGTCAAAGATGAGGAGGAAACGCGCACTTGGAAGGGCCTACTTTTGGTCCACGTTGGCAAAGTATTTACTGGAGCCAGTTGGGGAAGCCCAGGGACTCCACCACCTGAGAATGGATGCTTCTGCCCAGCCTTCTGCCTCCTGAAACCCACCCTGGTCTCCTTCCCCATCTCCCACCCCAAGTAACACTTGGCTCTTTTCACAGTTTCTCATTACTAAGTTTTAAAAACATTGCCTAACTGGTAATTACAAACTGAAACAATTCTTTTGGGGGAGCCCTGGGCTATTGCTGGCTGGTAATCTTTCAGGAATGTCAGAGAGAGGGGAGGGAACACAGATTTTAAAGAAACTTCAGAGACCTGGGCCTCGTGTCCCCTTTCATGCTTCCCCTCCCCTCGTCCTGCCCTGTCCCTGCACTCCCACCCTCCCGTGAGGCCCACTCTCTGCCCTGCTCTGTGGCCCATCTGCTTCTGGGGTCTTAGTCCCTCCACCTACCTCCTTTCTTCTTACTTTAATTATACAGTTCTTTATTCCTACTTAAAAAAAAAAATGGGGTGTGGGGGAAGGAGGGAATCATCTTCCGCTCAGAAAGGGATGTCTGGGTTTGGGTAAATTCTACTTAAGGAAACCAATTGGAAACAGGCATCACAAAGGGCTCTGGGGTGGCACGCTGCTGGCCGGGGCTGCCGCACCCCAGTGTCAGCCCTCTGTCAGATGCAGCGCTGGTGGTATCTCATTATCCTTCAGGGGGCTCCCTATGGACTAATTCTTGTCATTCCAGCCATACCAGATCCTTTTCTCCCTCCAGAGAATGCCCCGGTAAAGGGGCTGGGAGTGTCCGCGGTACTGGAGAAGCTGCGGGCCACACCTGGTCAACCCGTGGACACAATGCAGGAAGGGTAATCTCCCATTCCAACTCCCCTTTCTTTCTAACACTCGCTCCCTTGGAGGTCACCAAGCACAGGCTGTGACTGGGCCAGAAAGACATTCAGTCTCCTGACATAACTAGAAAGCCACGCTGGTCCAAGATGATTCCTCTTCCCGCGTGGCTTCCCTTTCAAAGCCCATCATTTCTCAATCCGTGGAGAAGCTGAGAAACAGGTACGCGTCTCCTCTCCCCCAACAAAACCTGCAGGACACACCAAGTTATCCAAAACCACAGTAACAACAACAATAACAATAAAATCCTCTTCGACTTGTTTTTCCAGGGTGACCAGGCAAGGTGTGAACATCCGCCTCGCTCTGGGGGGCTGGCAGGTGGAAGGTTTGGGCCCACCGGGCTGCCACCTCTCCCACCTCCTACCCCCGCTCTCCCTGTCCAAGCTGTCCCACCCCACCCCACCCCTACTTTCAGGCCCCTGCAAGGCCAGCTTCCTCTTCCGCCTCTCTGCTGTCACTCGTGCTCTGCGTCCAGGACTAGGCGGCGTGAAAGGCACCGCCGCTACCTGCAGCCGCACGACTCCACCACCATGTCCTCGTACTGCTTGTAAACTACGTTGTTGCCCGCGTCAATGTACAGGATGCTAATGGGAGTCAATTTGGTGGGCACGCAGCAGCTAGGTGGGGTGGAGCCGGGGTCCATGGAGTTCATCAGCGTCTGGATGATGGCGTGGTTGGTGGGCTCCAGGTGCGAGCGCAGCGGGAAGTCGCACACGCCCTCGCAGTGATAGGCTTCGTACTCCAAGGGCGCGATAATCCAGTCGTCCCAGCCCAGCTCCTTGAAGTTCACGTGCAAAGGCTTCTTGCTGCAGCGCAGCCTCGACTTCTTACCGTGCCGCTTGCCGTGGCGGCTGGCGAAGGCCGTGCGCCGCCGCCGCCGGCCGGGCGAGGGCAGCCAAGGTCCGGCGTCCGGGGCGCCCGGCGTCGGCGTCCTGGAGCCCTCCTCTGCGCCGGCGCCGGGTCCCGCGGCCTCCGCGGAGCCCAGCTGCTCGCGCATCTCGGCGAACAGGTTCTTGCGCTGCGATCTGGTGAATACCACAAGCAGGGCGCGCTCCTGGGGGGACCGCGCCCTTCGGCCGAAGCCCAGACTCCGCAGGTCCGGGGGCGGCGGCGGTGGCTGATGCAGCTGCTGGGACTCCGGCTCGCGCGCCTCGACCTCCGAGGCTTCTGCCTCGCCCCACGCGACCCGCAGCTCCAAGCACAACTGCTTCCAGGGCCGGTGGCGCAGACCCTGCCACACGTCGAAGACTTCCCAGCCAGCCGGGGGCGCCCCCTGCGGGTCCAGGGTCCTCGCGTCCAGCAGCAGGGGCGAAAGGCAGGGGAAGAGCTGCACTTGGAGGGGCCCGGACGGAGGCCCCCAGGGCGCTGCAGGCGCCTGGCGAAAGAGCCGCAGCTCCGCGCCCACCAGCTCCTCTTTGTCTGAGAGCGTGGACACATCAAACAAATACTTCTGTCTCCGGAGGGGAGTGTGCGAGAGATCGTCTGCGAGATAAAAAATAATTACAGTCAGTTTCACTTAAGGGGGAGATCAGCCCGGTGCTTTGTGGCCACCCCCAGGAGGAAAAGGGCTGGGAGGGAGTGGCGGGGCGGGGGAGGGGTGGAAGGGACAGAGTGAAGCTGGCCGACCCGGGGAGTCCGGCTAAGGTGGCCTGGGGCCTGACCACCCTCTCAGCTCCTTGCCGGGCCAGTGCAGGGCACGGGGAGGAGGCGCACCAGGTTAGCTGTAGACTCCTAGAGCAGAAATTGGTGGCTGCAGGTGGGGCAGCGGTGGGGGGCGTTCTCCTGGGGCTCACCCAAGGGACAAGGAACCACTAACATGCCCCTTTGTGGTCGTGAGCCTGGGCTGAGATTCCCGCCCCCCGCCCGCCCCCAGACCTCCCGTCGACTAACTCCTTCTTCGTTCCCATCTCAAATGTCACCTCCTCCGAGAGGCCATTCCTGACCACCCTGATATAAAGTAACCTTCCTCTGTCACTATCGCGGGATCCTGGTTTATTATCTTCCCGACACTTGGTATTATCTACAATTGACTCGTTTGTCTCCCTAGTGGCCTGTCTTGGCCAGCAACACTCTATCCCCACCCCCTCCACCAGCCCAGGAACGCTGGGAGGAGGTCATATCCATCTGACTTGCCTTGGCGCCTAAAGCCAGACCAGATCTAGTCCAGTACAAGTGGGTCAGCAAACGAGAACTTATGCAGTAGCCGCTCTCTGGCTACCCATTGGATCCATCTGGAGAACTTAAAAACTACCCGTGTTTTTCTGCCAATTGCATCAACATCGAAGGGCAGGACCTGGGCCGGCGGTTTTTGTTTGTTGGTGGTGGTTGTTGGTTTGCTAAGCCCCAAGATGATTTCAAGGTGCAGTCCTGCTGAAAACTGACTCGATGGATAAACACCCGCTGTCCATCGGGCAGTTCTGCTGAGACTTCCAGGCTCAAAACAAAGCAGATGGAAGGGAAAATTCCTGTACAACTCCTTTCCTGCAATTTAGTAACTATTTAACAACAAACAACAGTGAATGAAGCTTTCCAAAACAAGGGGTTGAGGGAGCAAATGAACCAGACATCTCTCCACTGAGAAGAGCCTGCAGTCAGTAAGAACTGGATGTACCCAGCAAGGGAAGAGTGCAAGCCCGGACTCATGGACACACACATACACACTCAATCCATCACTGCCACCACCTTCCTCCAACCCTGGATCAGGAATTCTCTTACTTGTCAACTAATCCTAAAGGTAATTTCTTTTTATTGCAAGTGAGGGGGGAAAAATGAAATTGGAAATACATGGGAGGTAGCGGTTTTTTGATTTTTTTAATTCAAGGCCAATTGTTCAGGATCAAGATAAAGCTGGATTTTTTTTTTTTGACACATTTGTACATGAATCCAACCCCACTTCGGTGTGCAAGGCACAAAGCTCACCAGATTTTTTTTTTTTCTGGGCTGCCTTCCCATAAAATATTTACAACCCAGCAAATACAAAAATCCCCACAGCCCCCCAGCTTTCCCCCAGAAGCTAGTAAAGCTGAGGTCGATTTCAATAGTAAAAGTGTCACTGGAGTGCCGAGCGACCCTCGCTGGCTATCCAGATGTAGCCCGGGGGCACGGGCTCTGGAGCCCCAGCCACACCCGGGCGGCTCTCCTGGCTGACAGCAGAGCCGGCTGCCTGCCTCTGACACACATGCCCCGACCTGAGATGGAGCCATGGGAAGGGTTAGAGAGGTGAAAAGGGAAAAGCTGCTGGAGGCAGTTGATTTATGGAAGGCAAGGCCTTCGAAACGACCAGGGTCACGTTAACAATCAGGGGAGGGGGCAGAGCAAGAAGAGAGAGAGGAGGTGGCGGGATTCAGGACACTTTCCTTCTTGACAGGAACCTGTGAGTGACAATGATCAGCCAACGCCCAGATCTCCCGGACCTGTCACCTTGGGCTCCACCACTTTGTACCTCTCCCCAAACCGGAGATGTGCCGCATCTACTGAATGGTGTGACAGCTGATGTGTTTCTAAGTCCACACTCATAGAACAGTTTCATAAAGTAGGTACTGTTTTGCAAGGATTGTTGCTAACTTTACAGATGGGAAAGGAAAATCGCCATGAAGTCATTTGTCCAAGTTAGGCAGCTAGTAAGTACCAAGGCTGAGATCTACACTTGAAGCTGTTGAATTCCACGGTTGAGGCAAGTAGACCCTGAGCTCCATTGCTTCCCCCACCTTGGTCCAGGTACTGGGGCTTAAAATAACTGAGAGTGCCCAGAGCAAGGGCTTTAATCCAAACAGTATTTGCAGGGATTATTAGAAATAGTAGCCAGGCATCCTTAGGAAATCATTTCTGCCCCTGCTAACACAGCTCTGGAGACTCTGTCAGGGGCTGGAGGACACCAGGCAATAATGTTTGAAGCATTTGTCTCTAGAGCAATGTAAAGAGATCGGCCTGCATTTGTTTTCATTATTTATGATCATTATGGTTGCGTGTGGGTTCGTAACTGCTTGGTCTGCACAGTGCTGAAGACAGCACTGAAGCCTGCCTCTGCAGAGAGAGCAGCCTTGGGGTTTCTGAGGATCTAACAGCTTTGCCTCACTCTGATCCTTTCCAGGGCTCTGGGCACGAGTGTGCATGGAACTTTGGCTTCCACCATGCACCCTTCTAACCCTGCACAGGCTCCACCCCACTCTTCCCAGGGGCCTTGCCGGCATGCATTTGGACACCAACTTACAGACCCAAACTCCCCAGGCCTACAGGTGCATATGTTAGAAGTGCAGTCCTCTATGGGGAAGACAGACCCAAGAGAAATGGTCCAGAGCCTGGAAGTTAATTCAGAATAATGAAAGCAAGAAATGATGTGGCCCAGGTACCGAGCTTTGCTTAGTAGGTTGAGTTCTCAAAGCCTCTCAACTTGTAAATGGTCCCTCAGTCTGCAGCATCAGCAGGGGAAAGGACTTAATAAAGACGTGCATCCTCTTGGGCCTCCCCACAGGTATGGGCACACCCCAAAATTTGCCTTACTCATAAGAATCCAAGTAAGGCTGAGTCTGCCAATACAAGGTACACATTTTTAGAATCTCTCATTTAGGTAGGCATGGCCCTTGGGCTTTTTGGATGCCCCAGAATGTGGGGCAGGTCTCTACTGAAGGAGTCAAAGCAAGACCTTCCAGAGCTCCTGACCCAGAGTAGGATCTAATACAGTAACCAGCAGACTAAGTCACCAGCCTCCTTAGCTCCACCCCGGCCCCAGAGCCACTTCTAGGTTTTTCTTTCCATCCCACTACATGTTTTCTCTCTCAGCATCCTGGAGTCCCTATCCCCTAAACAGACGGCTGAAGAAGGTGACCACTTTGTGCAACTCCACCTACAGAGCACATTCCCCACCAGTCTGGACCTGTTCTGGAGCCAGGCATCACAGACACAGCCCAGAGGGAGGCCTTGACCTGAGAGCTACACAGGGCACCACGTACTGTGACCCTACAGGTATTTCAAATGCTGACTTGGCTTCCTGAAGCCTGGCCTAACTGCCATGGTCCACCACTTGCGGGGCGGAAGCAGCTCTTCACTCTGCCTCCCAACTTCAGTCCTGTGTTGGTGAGAATTGAAGTCCTACAGTGGCCCTCCCTCCCGTGACTAGAAACACACATTTTTCATTTCAAATTCTGTGGTGCTTTCTTATACCCTAGAAATGAATCCTGTGCTTTGGATACAGGATTTAATTGAAATTGGAAGTGATCAGTGCTACATGAGGGAGCTGTTCATTTTGTTTTCACTTTACATCAGCCTGGCTTGTTACAGCTCACACCCCAGTTCATTTGGTGTTTGCAGAGTGTTAGCAGTATAAATCTTTCAAGTTGCATATGCTGGATTTGCTTAACCTCGTTGCCTGGGAGGAGGGCAGAGATAGGAGGAAAGAAAGAGGATAAAGAAGCTACAAATCACTGACTTGGAAAAGCAAACCCATTTTGGAAAAGTAAACCCTGGCTGTTGGGAGCTAGTAATGCAACCATCAGAATGGAAAGGAAAAGATGTCCTTGACTACTTCCCTAGAACATAAGAAGACTGCCACAAGGGAACTGCACACACTGCAGGATTCTCCTCTCCAGGGCTGACCCAGATGCCTCCTACTGGAGGCTGCTCCTGTGGGCCAGCCAGGAGGTGGTTTCCAAAAAACCTAGAGCTTCTTATGATTGGAAGGGAAAAAAGCCCAGCACCTCATTTGTCCCAAGTTATCCCTGGGACAGGTTTGCACAGTTCAAGGTTCCTCTTGAGGGTGCTAGTTAGATTTTCTATCCTTTAGCACAGGCGGCTCCAGCAATCCCAACCTGCAAGACCGTTCACATTCCAAGCTCCCAGATGTTTCACTCCTCCCTGTTCCTAATGTTTGTATCCTCTGAGTTCCCAGTGATCCTGGGTGACTTACAGGACAGGCATCTAGCAGTGCCAGGCATCTTCCTTCAGCTGCCTAGCCTCACTTTCCACTCACTTCCTTGGAAGGCACAGACAGACTCTCACTAGGCAACCCTACTGTAGGCAACCACTCAAAAAGCCTAAAGAGGCATTGTGCTTTCAGATCCTCATCCCATCCTCATGGCTACGGATAACTACCTGTTTTTACAAAGCAAACTTCAAATGTCTTTATAGCTGAGCCTCCTTGAGTTGTAGATAACAGCAGCACTGAGCATTTAAGGTCATGGGATGCATGATAGCCTCTTTCACTGAATTCTCAGGGCAAGTATCTGAGGTTGGCACTAACTTGCCTGTTGTCTTACAACTAGGAAGGGACAAAGCTGTTGAAAGTCCCAACTTCTAGGGTTCTTTGAGCAAAATCGTGATTAGGCAGTGGTGCAAGAGGGGACCTGTGGTTTCAGAACAGTGCAACACTAAGTGAAATGGATTCCCTGTTTGCTAGAAGAAAGCCTTCCAAGCTTGGAAGTCTCAGCTGGATCTCTCGGCTTCAATATTCAGGTGGGAAATAGAGCCAGGTGTACTTGATGAGTACA